CCTCCCCCCCAGCACAGGGACCTGCCCCTGCCTTCCCCCAGCACAGGGACCACCCGCCTACCCGTTCATGCCCCACTGGGGGCCCCAGGAATTCTTGACGATCCAGTAGGGCGTCCCGTTCTCCTCTCCGTACCCCACGGCCAGCACCGCGTGGTTCACCTTGTCCGGGGTTTTGTGGCAGGAAGTGCTGGGGACACAGAGGCGGGAGGACATGCTCCACGTCAGCGGGCGCGGCGCTTCCACAGGGGGAGCCCTGGTGGCACCGGCTCCTCCACTCGCGGGGCCAGAGACCCCGCTCTCAGCTGTGCTCACGCACAGGGGCGTCCCTCACCCCACCTGGCACTGCCCTCACCCTTCTGTGGGGAGAGGACAGAAGGGCTCCCTGGTGCTTATTTCCAAGCCAACAACAGGCTTCCCATGACCACAGTGAACTAGTTTCCATCAAGAAAGGGCTCGTGTGGCTCAGCGGATAGAGCGCCGGCCTGCGGACTGACGGGTCCCGGGTTCGATTCCCGGTCAGGGCACAGGCCCGGATTGCGGGCTCGATCCCCAGTGGGGGGCGTGCAGGAGGCGGCCGATCCCTGATCCTCTCTCATCATGGATGTTCCTCTCTCCCTCTCTCCCTCTCTCTTCCTCTCTGAAATCAATTAAAAAATAAAAGACATGGCAAGACGTCCCGAGGACAGGCTGTGGGGCCCTGTGTTAGTTCAGCTGACGTGTAACTGTGTTCCTGGCACCGCTGGGTCTGGGCCCAACCCCCTGCCCCCCTCAGCGTCTGGACGGTGCAGGGGGCGGTGGGGCTGAGGGCGTAGCCAGAGGAGGGCGTCTCACCTGGAGTAGATGCCCTTCCGGTACTGCATGAAGTCGCTGGTCACCTCGAAGGCAAAGCTCACGGGGTTGTACAGGGCCACCGCCTCCACCATGGCCTCCTCGTCGTTCTGTGGGCGGACGGGGGCGGACGGACAGGTGGACAGGGGTCCCCTCCCCGCCCCACTCCGAGCTGCGGCTCCTCACCCCACGGTCCCGTCGGGCGGCCCGGCCGTGCAGATGACCCCGAGGGGGGAGAGGTCATAGGTGAGGACCCTTTTCTCTCCAAGGGCCGTGGGGACATTGGTCGCATCCCTGGAGGGCCATTCAGAATTATCCACCTGGACAGGAGCCTGCTCCCCTGGGTCAAGCATTTCACAGACTCACCCCGCAGCCTGGGCGGGGCCGGACCGGGTGGTTCTGCAGGCCTCCTGCGCCCGCGGCCCGAGGTTCCCCACCCTCGTTTCAGACCAAAACGCAGCCGCCAGGGGCCGCCGCCCCTCACAGCAGATGTGGGGGGGAGTGTGGGGGCCTCCACTCTCTTAATGCCGGAAGGGCCAGGTTGTGCTGGGTTTTCTGTCTGGCTCCCAGGTCCCTCCTCCCAAGCCCTGGCTCCCC